TAAAACGATTTTCAACACTCTTTTGCGCTTTAGTAAACTCGAAACGTTTGCAAGCTTAGCGTAATTACAGTGGATAATCATTTTGATTGTATTGAATCAAGTGTGTTTACGATAGCTGAAACATCATTTGTTGGTATTTAAAATACTATCACCAAAGATCAGTCATTGATGATTGGTACGGACACGGAACACGGAACAAGTAATCATATGATCGCATGAAAACCGACAAATCCCTCACACCATTTCACTTTCCCCATAAAATTCAAATACACAATTTCATTCTAAAAGGTTTTGTTATGGATATCACGTTACAGGTTTACAAAGCCAGCCAAAAAAAAAATCGTTGTGAAAAATTTCTGCAAAATCCCTCAAACCAAATTAACCATCACAACAGAAATAAGTCAAAGAATGGTTATTGTCAGTTAGTAATTCTATAAGTAAGTACAGTATGAAGAGGAAAGACGTGTACCTTGGACGAAGCCTTGTAGAGCGTGAGAGCCATCAGGTATCCAGGAGGATCGAACTACAGCGGCGCACACACTGAGCGGTACTGAGGTACTGCGGTACTGTGACTGAGACGGAGGTACAGCGGCGGGTGTGGCAGGGCGAGAGAGAGCGGCAGGGGACGCGGCACGCCGGGCTGTTTTTTGTTTTTGTTTGTTTTACCCTAGCCACATCCGAAGATTGCAAGGTAAATTGTTATTCAAATTTTAATTTCACTCCGAAAAAATGTTCACCGAAAAAAATTAAGCAAAATAAACTTCGTACTCAAGAAGTTCAAGCTCTTTCTATTTAAATAATCTGTATGGGTGGATAGCGAACTTTGAACGAAAAAAATAAGTTCACGAGCAATACTCATTTATATTTTCTTCCCACAAACACCAATATAAACCTTTATATTTGATCGTCTCAGAGGAAAATGTGTAGCTCAGTCCTTCTCATTGAGTTCAGGGCGAAGTACAGGACCTTGTTGTGGAATAGCTTACATTTATGACTGGGTGGGAACGTTTACCCTCTGGACATTTTCATGTTTTAAAGGTAAACAATTGAAAAAATATTCAAAACCCCATAACACCCCGTTAAGGAACTTGGTTGGCAAATTCATTCTAGTTTATCCAGCCCTACACCTTCAAGCTAAATTTCATCAACATCGGACCAAAATAAATCGAGTTATCGTGTTCACGGACGTATACATTATATATCCATGTTAATATATATTTAAATTTGAACTAATAGTGTGTTTGACCACTAGGGACATCAAAATGACAAAGTAAATCGGTCACGGGTCTAGGTCTTACTGTGCCAACTACGTTAATAGCTACTTCCATTAGGTAATTTCGCTAAAATGTATTAGCAGCTCCTGTATTCATAACGTTTGTATACTCTAGTTGTGTATTTGAAACTAACTGTGATCTCAAGAAACAACAACTACTGTAGTTCATCTTTCTCACAATAAGATATGTAGTCCTGTAAAGCTCGGCAGAATAACATTTATTCTTTGAATCACTGTCAGATCACCAATCAATGTAATCGTTAGGCCAGACATGAATCATTAAGACTCACAATAGAAAAACATCATAGAATACAATGGAAGACAGTCTAGTCATGACTAACAGATCATCACAGGATCATGATAAGAGTGAGAGTGATAACGAGATATATAATAACTACAGAGCTTGTTACAAATTGCGGATAAACTTTTCTTTGTAACATTTCTTGTCGATTTTTGGACAACACGAAGTAAATAAAATCAAAATTTTAATGTTAAACATCCAAATACTGGATTTAGGTTTGGAATGAAATTAAATAACTTGAGCTTAACTTTTGTCACACGACATATCATGATCATACAAAGTGCATTTGCTGTACTGGGATACGGGTTAAGGAGGTCGTAGTCACTAGTTGGCCGGAAGTTGTCTAATTATGCGGCTTATTGTAGCAAGTAGCAAGTGTGCCATCGCTGGCCATACACGGCCGTGGCGCGTGACGCGTGAATCTCCGTAACACTTTCAATAATACTACGAGTGCAGACGCCACCCGGATAACACAGGTGAGTCCTTCATAATGGGCCCGATTTTGGTTGTATCATTTTTGTTCCGCGGTTGAAGGCTAATTTCTTCACATCACTTTTGTTCCGGAGGTCAGCAGATAGATTTTGGGACCGGCCGAAACATTGCTTTTGTTCCGCAGACATCTCTCTTGTTCCGCAGACATATCTCTTGTTCCGCGAGAGAGGGGGCTGTGCTCTCCCTACCCCAAATCCTCTCTTTCGCCCTTCTTCTAATTCTTTCTTTCATGTTGGCTTTAAAGCTCATTAATTTATCATTTTCTCCTTAACAGATATATCAATAATTTAAATAATTTCACCTAACCTAACCTATGAAAGGAGAGTATTTGGGGGAGTGAGAGGGCATTCCCCAAACTCGCGGAACAAGAGAGAAGTCCGCGGAACAAAAGCAATGTTTCGGACGGCCCCAAAATATACCTGCTGACCCCCGGAACAAAAGTGATGTGAAGAAATTAACCTTCAACCGCGGAACAAAAGCGACACACGCCCGATCTTTTACTAACTACTGCAAGGGTAATTTTATTGTTTAAATATAAGAGGGTCTTTTAGTTTTTAAGATTTTTTAGTTAGTTAACCTCTGTTTTGGTAAGTTTGGAATGTTTGGCAACAACTTGGCCAGCCCAAAACATTTAGGCCTACTGTTCATTTTGGAGGCATGAAAAGATGTATTAAATTTGAATTGAAAAAATAGTAATATAACTGTAAAATCCCGTAGAAGGATTGGCTATTTGGTCGATGTTGCCTTGAAACCCATTTGTTGTAGAATATTCCTTCTCGTATGTTATACACAGGTAGATGTAGACTGTGCGTAGCGTCTGTCGCAGGTCTGCTGCAGTACTGTAGATTGTTTGTTGTACTTGTACACTGGCTAACGTAAACTGGATTCCCAAAACGGTTTTCAGGCCTGAACTAATAAAACCTTCCGTTGCAAACTACTTCTTACTTCAAAGAGTGGACTTAACGACTATCCCATTTCAGCTGACCACGAAGGTACAGAAGTTAACATGTGTTAAATAAACATGAACTACTGTAATTTGTTTTTCAAACCAATAATTATTTCAATAATGTTTTATGTTACACCAGTGTTCATGGCGATAACCTGTATTCATACAACTAAATTAATAATGGAAATAATTAGTGTCAAAAATGTTGACACAAAATGTTTAAGATGACTGAGAATTGAGTGTTTTGCAATACACTACGTCCGTATTCTGAGACAATGTCCATTAACTAATGCCCAGCGAGGGATATGAATAGAAAAATGCAATAAGTATAGTTGATTTCAATTAAATGTGCACCAATAAACATTATAAAATTTGTGGGCTTCGTAAAATCTAGTTGCGTTCCTAAAATTTCACTTTTAATTTTGCCAGGAAATAATATGAATTTCCTTTAGCTAATAAACAATTTTATGGCAACTGGACAGTCAAAGTAAAACTACACAAAAGGTAGCATTTAAATATATATTGGTAAAGAAGGATTAATACTATGTTTAAGTGCTTTTTACTATAAACTTTAAACTTTGCTTTTCCAGGAAGCAAAAAATACACAATATGTTATTGCAAAAGTAGTTTTATTTTCAAACCAGTATAAATTGTATAAAACACACATTTAAGTCTAAATATACAAGTTACATTTATAATTGAGTTAAAAAAATTAAACATTTTTAGTTTTAATTAATATGTTTTAATTTTCAATCCACTTATTGCACAATAGTGTTAACTCTAGACTCGGTGACAAAACATAACATGAAAAGTGTTAATAAGTATTATAATGGCACATTACTAATACCGCTTATTAAACTTAAATTACTTAACTAATATCATAAATAAATAGACGGTAGCATAAATGTTTATGTTTTAACGACCTTTTAATTTTAGTAGATAATATTCACGTACAATCATTGAGCTTTGCCAACCTATTGCACTACAAAAATTTCATAGCCTATTTAAAACTTTTTAAATATCTAATTTAACTTAGTATCTCGTAGTTAAACTTGTATTCAAATTGTTTCTTCTTCAGAAGCAATAGGAAGGCCACGAACAACAGGATTGGTTTCTTCTCGACACAGAATCGATAAAATATCGATAAGTTTTAATCACTGGGGATAGCACTGAGGAAGCACTTTCACTAGAAACACTTGCTGCAAACAAATCTAGAATAACGAAAGAACTCAGTGAACAGTTAGAGCCGTATTTACAGGAGATCACTAGTGTGAAAAAATATTTACACTAACAGCAGTACTGGTTATGATGAAGTGTAGAGATGAAGAATGTAAGTTTGTTTATGAATCATAATATGAATAATATGGAATAAGAATGAAATGATGTCACGATGATTTGAAAGCGTTATGATTTAGTCGTAGTTCAGATAGTAGGAAAAAACATAGCCGTAGACATTTTCTTCAAGGAAATAGAAAAAATATTACAATTTTTCATACGTACACACAAACAATGTTTTTGAAAATATCAGTAGAGTTTGTGTTATAAGATAAAGGTGTTGTACAGAAAGCTTCGAAGAAGCGCAGAAAATCAAAGGACGTTAAAACATAAAAATAACCTAAAATATAAGACTATTGACTATTCATAAATGCTACTTAAAGCATGAGTTTTCTTAATTTCTGTGCATTATTAGCTTAATTGTTAAAGACCAATATTTGACAGCCATATTATGAGATTGATCTTTCTACAAAACTATACATTTAAATTCTTAAGATGATAACAGAAAGCGTGTAAGGAAAGCTCTGCAAACACAGTTTACTTAAAATTTACTTTTAGCTATGAAATGTGATATAAAAATGTGTATTAATAAAAGTAAAATATTTAGACGTTATGAATAATCAATAGATTATTATTTGGTATTAACTCTTTAAATGCTTTGCCTTAAGCGTAAACGAACGAAGCGAAATTGCAGAATCTTAACAGACGCTCACCCTCTCCGGCTCCTTGAGAGATGTCTCCGAGATCATCCTAGACCTCGTCAGACTGCCATGAGGTGAAAGACTCTTGTCTAGACGTGTGGCCAGGATATGGTACTGTCTCTGTAGCTGGTCTATCACTCGGTCCTTGCTCTTCATCTCCTCTAGCTGAAACATCAGGATATTTACTGTAACTAGAGTCTAGACTATTATAAGGGGAAGGACTCTTGCCTAGACATGTGGCCAGGATATGGTACTGTCTCTGTAGCTGGTCTATCACTCGGTCCTTGCTCTTCATCTCCTCTAGCTGAAACATCAGGATATTTACTGTAACTAGAGTCTAGACTATTATAAGGGGAAGGACTCTTGCCTAGACATGTGGCTAGGATATGGTACTGTCTCTCTAGCTGGTCTATCACTCGGTACTTGTTCTTCATCTCCTCTAGCTGCAAAATCAGGATATTTACTGTAACTATAAGAGTCTAGACTATTATAAGGGGAAGGACTATTGTCTAGACGTGTGGCTAGGATATAGTACTGTCTCTGTAGCTGGTCTATCACTCGGTCCTTGCTCTTCATCTCCCCTATAGCTGCAACATCAGGATATTTACTGTAACTAGAGTCTAGACTATTATAAGGGGAAGAACTTTTGTCTAGACGTGTGGCCAGGAGATGGTACTGTCTCTTTGCTGGTCTATCACTCGGTCCTTGCTCTTCATCTATTCTAGCAGTAACATCATAGCATTTTCTAGAGTCTAGAACTCGTCACACTAGTGTTATAGTATCTGGTCTATCACTCAGTGATTGCTCTTCCTCTCCTATAGCTGCTTTCATCATGATTTTTACTGTAACTAGAGAATTCACATAGGCAACAAATTGTATCCCTAGCACTAATTGTTACACGTTAAATAGTTCTTATTGTAAGCTGGTTAATGCTGGTAAGCACTTTTACAGTGATACTTCCAGCCGATAGGGTTAAATGAAAGTCTGCAACGGTCGAATGAAACTATCGGTTGTAACGTCTCGAGACTCATATTCCATCTTCTCCATGTGTTCTATATTATCCGGTCCACAACTCTCGCCTCATGGTCGACAATTACTGGTGATTATCGGAGGTGATGGACGGAGTTGTAGCAGTGGTCGGTTTCACTCTCAGCCCTCACGAGAGGGTCTAAACACCCGTCCAGGCTGAGTCCTGCATTACGTAAACAATCCTCAGTGTCTGTGTCTGGAGACTACTTAAACTGACACATCATAACAGAGTTAAAATTATTACACAACGTAAGAATTATCACCAATCGTAACCTTGTGAAATTGTTTGGTATTTTCTGAAAACTTGAACATTTTCTTTAAACTTAGATGCTTTGGCCCTCTTGTAATTATTTTATTATATTTAACTGCAGATCCATAGACGGGTTCATTCGAATCAAACATTTCTTCAGAAAATTCTTTGTATTGAAACTAACATATTTTCACTATATGGTGAACTGACACATTATTTTCGTGTTTCGCAGATCATTTTCCAGAACGACAATCACACTCCTTGTCGTCGTTCATCCCTCGTTTCTCCTCTATCTCGTCGCTCGTTGGCGCTATCTATTTTTCCTCCATTACAGGGCCACACGCAATTTCATTTTGTGGTGGACTATCATCAGAGAGACTCGCCGTTCTCCGTTCTCCGTCGACCCGGAACCACCGAGTGCGGAGAGTTGCAAAAATTGACTGGCGGCTGTAAATCAATCTTGGTACGAAACCGCCGCGATAATGTAGTAACAAGATTGAACGGTCCAAGGACCCGGTGTTGAACTGTGCCGAAACTGTAGTTCAAAGGTGGTGTGCATTTTACTTTACACTATTTAACAATAATTGATTATGTTATACAGGGTATTTCTACCGCAGCATTCCTTGTTGATGCCCAATTAAATATGTTTCAAATATAATTATGTGTAATTAGTTGTTGGCAAAGGGACCACATTGGTTAAGCATATTTCATTGTTTGAATTAAATCAGTGTATTACTTAACTAAATTAAATGCATTTACTTAACATAACTATACAGGATGAATCAAAAGTCAAGACCCCCACCCCAACTTATATTTTTCTAAGTGGATATAGAATCAATAAGTGATATTTCAAATATTGTTTTGTCTTTTCTTTAATTAAAGGCTTAACTAATGATCTTTAACTTATTAAGTAGAGGGAAAATGGCAAAACTAAAATCTTGACTCTCTAGAGACTCCCTAGACTCCCACACCACCCTAATTTTAACGCCTCAATCATCATTTTATCACGTCAGGTTTTTTTTTAGAAATTCTGTTACAAATTTAACATTTCTCTTATGGGACTAACATCCAATAGGACTACCACTGATGAAAACTCTTAACTAAACCGTTTAAAATTTTTAGCCAGTTGTAAATTCACAAATTGTGTATTCTTAGAACCAAATTAGTTTCAGATTTAAGTATTTTTATTTGATCGATGAAGGTTATTTAAACAGATTTAAGCAGGAAGGTAAGAAGTTGAGAGTAACAAAATGAGAAGTAACAAGTTTAACAATTTCATTGTGTTTTATTTATACAATCATTGGGGTGTAAACATTTTAAAATAATTTATGAAAAAAATCTTAGAACACTGTAGTATTCTGATGAGTATCTTTGCTGTCCGAATACACCTCCCCACAACTCATTTGTGTGTTTACCAAAACATTTGAAATTATTATTTCATCGCTAGAGAGTGTTGACATTGAAGATTTCAAGTGTGCAGGTTAAGTCTGTGCATCGTAATATGAGGTGAGGCGACTGTGTATAAACAATAGTGGCGTGGGAACGACCGGCCCCGGGCCCTCTGCTCCCAACCGCTATTATTTATCGACCGTGCCACAAATAGAGGAGCCAAACTATAATCATACATTCACATATGTCTATTTTCGCCCAGCCGTTTGTCTAGAGGTAGCGTATAGGCTGGAGATGTACAACACAGATATCTGAACTCCCGGTCAAAACAAACAATTCGAGGTAGACTTGTGCAGTAAAACACACAATAGCTCTGGGATCGTCGAATCAGGCTTTGTATTGAAACTTGTTGCATTTTTAAGCCCTCTTGTTGTTGTTAAGATTGTATGGATTTTAATTGTTATGTCGATGGATTTAAAACTCTCCGGATCAATAATCCTTTACGACACACACTAAAAGTATACTGTTAGGGTGGTTCACCAATCGAAGTTTTTTTATAGAAAATCACAAACACACAGCGTCCAAAGCTCCTCAAATGTTTGTTTGTAGATATTTTGGAGATTAATTCCTCCTCTAACACTTAAAGTGGGCTACGTGACACTGACTCGTACCAAGGCCCCACTAGAAAAACGTGGAGCCTTGCTCGTACTCGACTCTCTCAAGAAGACTTTTCGAATGGACATGCAACACCGTGGTCTTGAATAAGACAGAGGTGATATTAATGTAAAATATGATTTCTAGAACATTTAAGTTTCACTGAGTAGTCACGTGTGCGGTTTTCAGCTGATTAGTATGCCTGCCTGCACGTGATGACGCGAGCGCGGGTGTGCGACTATGTGCTGTACGCGGCGATTCATTATAATGAGCATCAATGAAGGAGACATTCGCCAACACGTGTGACTAATCACGAAACCTCACCTGAGTGGGAAATAACTTCGACCAGTTATAAAACTGAATACTGAATAGAAATCATTGATAACCGATGGGGTTCTGAGCACGAATACTAGAAAAGACACATTATGGACCATAAACACAAACAAATTATATTACTGGTCCGAAATTAAATATTATTTATTCCTTATGGAACTGTCTAAGCCATATGTTACGTCATTTGTTTATTTTTATGATCCATGCCGCTTTTTGTTCTAATATTCGTGGTTCGGGGCTAATGGACGACAGAAAATTTTCCATTTTTAAGAGTTCAGGCAGAAAAGAACAGCAGAGATAAAGATGGATCATGATGGTGAAAAGTTCTCTGGTTATAGTTAGTTTTATAGCCACATCACACCAACATATTCCAGAAATCTCAATTATAATGTAGTATTTGATATGATTGCAGTGTGTTCCTTTGAAGAAGTAGAAATTTTAGGTATTTTGCAACTGTTGTTAATTTCATATACCATTCCAAAGATGCGACAAGGGAAGGAAAATAACGAGGACTGCAACTCTGACTGCAATCGATGGTATGTTACTTACTTTTATGAAAGAAACATTATTTTGAAACTATACTGAAATAAATGCAATAGGCTGAAACCTAAAAGGTAGATGGGAGCCGTGGCTATTTAATTAATTATTCATACCAACGGTTACGGATTATACAATTAAAAAAATACAATACACAACATAGCATTTTGAGTTCAACTCAGGCAACGAAGCCAAGTTGCTAGCCTACTTAATCTGTATAGAACTACAGAATGGAAACAAATATGTGACAAGGCAGATAAACTATGGTAATAAATAATATAAATGGCTAATGTGTGATATGGTATCTAATTATTTTTTACACAAGCAATACTTGCGCGATTGGTCACTCTTCTGGCACTATGTGTAAAAAAGGCTTGAACTAATTACAGTAATGGAAACTGGGTGCCGTGGCTAGTGAGGTCTCCGTGTAGGTGTAGGTGATACTACAATATTTGATTGCCTCACCCTCTCAATATTTAATGCACAGGACACTCTTTGCCGGAGTGATAATTCTTCTGGTACTTTTTTCACAAGGAGCTGATCAAATGAATGGAAATTGGGAGCCGTAGATCGTGGGATAGTACTAGTCCTTAAATATCATTTTTCTTGTGCTATGTTCAACAAGTAGCTAATCCAGTGAATAAGAGCTGGAGCCGTATAGTGGGATGTAGTAGTCCTTAAATATCATTCTTCTTGTGCTATGTTTAACAAGTAGCTGATCCAGGAATGAGAGCTGGAGCCGTATAGTGGGATGTAGTAGTCCTTAAATATCATTCTTCTTGTGCTATGTTTAACAAGTAGCTGATCCAGTGAATAAGAGCTGGAGCCGTATAGTGGGATGTAATAGTCCCTAAATATCATTCTTCTTGTGCTGTGTTCAAAAAGTAACTGATCAAGTGAATAAGAGCTGGAGCCGTATAGTGGGATGTAGTAGTCCTTAAATATAATTATTTTTGTGCTATGTTCAACAAGT